CATTTACCGAAAAAACGAGCTTTTGGATATTAGTTCTTATGAAGATGGCCATATACGTCAAATGTGGAAGTGTTTCAAAACAGCAAGGCACATTGTCGAGCATACAAAATGTCTGCTAGATACCACGCATATTGTTATTCCCAAGATTAAAAAAAGTTTCCATAAGAGGTTACCTCTGTAAAAAAAAGTGCTTTTATTGGATATTTAGCTGACGAACTTCTGCGTAAATTAACACTTTTTCCAAGGTAATGTCACAGTGAAATTGGAGACTTTTGACAATTTTTTTAATTTGCCTGTAGAAAAACGATTAAATTTGACTGGAGATGAAAGAAAATACTTTTCTCTTTATAACGGATTATTTTCCGCTTAAGGGGATTAATTCCACGATCCGTAATAAGCGTGCAAATGCAAAAAAACCCAACAAAAATGACCATTTTTTGAAATACTTTTCATACTTCTGTCTGTTCCGTTTCTAACCTATTGTTTACAAAAAACTTATTTCTACATGACTTACATTCAATAAGGCCTTCTATAGGTTGTCTTCGCGGCAACATGGAAACTTTGCTTACGCGCAAGGCAAGCTATGCGGTAAAAGAAAATGCTCTACCAAAAACGTTTTGTCACTGTATGTTTTGAAAAAACTTCACTAAATAGCTAAATATAATTTTTAAAACTTCTATTGCTGCTTGCTTCTGAAAATAAAATGCGATTCCTTAAACTTCGCTTCACTTCCATTTGATCAACTTCGCACAAAATTTTCCAGTTCTGGAAGGGATTATTATTCCACCTTTTTTTTAATAATTATTGAATTCTTCCACAGCACAATATATATTAGTAAAAAGTTTGGTTCTGTCGTACCTTATAGCATAGGAAATTTCTTTAATATACAATTACTCATGATTTAGCCAAAATGAGTGCTTATTTCTCCCAATAACTTTAACTAAGAGGGCAGTTTTCCAAACCAAAGCATTTCTTATTATTAATCCACTCAGTTGATCAAAATAACCTGTCCAGATATATGCTTAACTACCAAGTTACATTTCGTAATAAAAGTTGTTTGCAGGACTCACAGGACTGTATAGCATTTTGACCGAAACAGGATTTTATATGTGAACAGTCATGTAAGACAAGGGCTACTCTTCGTACATATTTGTAAGTCTAGTATTAAAGAATACATACTGCTGTATCCTGCTTACGGTGCGGCCTGTTGTAAGTTAAGTATGGGCGACTATTTATAATTACACTTTAAGCATACAAAAAACGTTATCTCAAAAAGTATCCAAAACAAAATAATGCATAGCCGATTTGTTAGATCTGGTCTGCTGTTTCTAACTGGAGGCCGTCTATTGCCTTAACCGCAACCAGAAGATTTTCAGTTACAACCATGATGGGAGTGAGTAGTGATATACATCTTGTAGTGCCCCCTAAACCGTGCATGCGGTAGATGAATTGGACTAACATGAGGACTAGATCAGGACAAGGCAGACTAAACTTGACATACGCACCGATGAGCGATGTGGTGCAATGCCTAAGTGGGGTCTCATCCCGAACCAGTCACCTGCGACCTCTCCAACCTCCAGTCTTCTTGATTAAATCACGATACTGCGCCCAGGTGGGAGGGGAGAGGGTGAGGCAGATACGATGCAAGTCACCGTTCCTGTGCCCACTATGTTATAGGACACACGGTGGGCAGAGTCGGCAAATACCACCAAACTGTTATATTTTGTAACTTTCATCAAATGGCCACACACACGCACACCTCT